TCACAATCTCCATTTGGTCAGTGAGTAGTAGTTGTGGGTCTAAGAAGGCCTCCAGACTGTGCACCACTCTTGAATGGGGAAGTGCTACTCCATTCAGAATTATAGCGTAGGTGGAACATTTCTACATCTCAAGTCACTTGATTTTGGTAGGATTAAGTCAGAGACAGTTCTTCCCTATTTATACCCACAAAGCTTCTAGGCACTAGGACAGAACCTCAGCAGCCCCATCTGACCAGCCCACCATCAAAATATGTAATTGTGTGTCATCAATATATTAATGATGCCAAACCCCAAACCAATGGATAATCTTATCCAGTAGCTTCATGTGGTTGTCAAAGGGGAAGGGAGAGAGGGAATGGCCTAGGGAGCAATTTATCCAACCCAACTAACACAACTGAAACTAGTTGTTGAGAAAGAGAATTCCCATAAAACCATGCCCCCAATACCCAACCCGCAGAGTTGGTTCAGAAAGCTATGGGGTCAATGATATTCAAGCTACTGAGAGATCAAGAGCACAAGGATGGGTGGCCTCCTCCATTACCATCTCCCTTCCTTCTCTACCACAAGTGATCTATGCTGTGTCAGTGCAAAATCCCAATCTGAAATAGGTCTACACAATCCATTTCCTCCAGGGTTCTCATCAACTGCAGACTGACCAGCTGCTCAACAATCTTCCCCCAGCCTCTTGATCAGATGCTGCCTCACTAGCTCTCTCAAAGCAAGAGGTACTACAATCTCATACAAGAAGGCCAATACCATAGCATGGACCCAACCATGGCTCATCTCTCTGACCACTTTTACAACCCAGGAATGGAGGTCAAGCTGACAACAGAGATAACCCTGTCATTTCTTCAGGAGTCACTGGCTAAAACTCATCCCAGATCATACCACCAGTGACCAGACCACGCCCCAGGCACTGCAGTCTGATCTGTCCAGATAAGTCAGAATGGATCTGAGCAATTTTATCTGCCAGGTATCCTGATTAATACTCACAGCAGCTCCACAGATGTTCTGTGGGGCTCTCCCTATCGAGAGGGGAGTGGGTCATCCTAAACAGGTGAATGCCTATCAGTGGACCCTTTTTCAGAAAGGTTCTCCACTTTTGTTATAATTACATCATGCCCTTTTAGATTCTGCACGTCCGTTTGCAAGTACATACTGCAAGGTTCTGTAGTCCATTTCGCTTGCTTTATATTTGTTTTAGTTATATATTAATTTGTATTGCATTCATGGTTCTCCTGTGGTATACATTTTAATCTTTCTATCGTGTTGATAAGCTCAATTAGAAAACAGATTGGTTTCTGATTCTTGAATTAAGTAGAGATATTGCTGAGTAACCAGCCCTTGGAGAATTTCTGCTCAATGAAATAGTTGCAAAGTGTGTAACAAGAAAATTCTCTCCCTTCTGTGCTTAATGGCAGGGTTTCATATCAGGCAAAACAATGAATCTTTCTGCTCTGCATTCCCAAGCAGCACCAGAATGTTAGACAAGGAGATTTTCACAAATTAGGAAATCTGTCATATACAAAGTTTCTCTGTCTGAAACTCTCTGGAATCCTGTCTTCTCTGGGCTTGTTGCACCCCCCCCCTCCAAATCCTGAACCTTTTCCTCCAGCTTGTTTGTCTGCAGCCATATATCCAGTAAACTCTCAACCTTAAAGGTGCCTATTCTCAGTTCCTTCATTATACAACCATTTTCTCTGGGATAAGAATCGGAGACTCCTGCCAACATCCCATCATCTAAAGTTGTAGATTTCACTCTATTTGCACACTATTGACTGACTTAGGAGGAATTATAAATCTTCCTTAATTGACCTTTGTAGGAAAACAATAGTTCTTGGCAGAAGAATAAAAATGTGAATATGGCTTTTAAAAAGAGGTGGCACTTTTCTGACTGAAGCCCCATTGGTAGATATAGTCCCCATTCTGGAGTAAGATGGCAAGCTGGACTGTTATTTATCGTATGGCACATTCACATCACATTTTGATAAAATCACAAAGAATAAAAATACAAAATATGAAACATAAAATCTAAAATATTATAAACATATACCTAGATTACAGATATACTTTTTGCTTCATTTGTCACAATGAAATGCAGCTGGGCTGTGTGCACCTTAATTTAAAAAATTACCCAGATATAGAAAACAAGCACATTGGGGAAAAAGCCAGATTAGAATTCACCTGGCAACTCCTTTTCTGTATCAAGGGAATTTTCTTGTTGATATCAAAGTGTACATGTAATTAAGGTGCTGTTGAACATGAGTGTCTCATATTGTATGGCTGTGTATAACCCAGGCTTCTCTCTCTCTCCTCAGCGTTCTGATCCAAGACTGCTGTCACAGTTTTTCTATGCTGATGAACGAGTGACTCAAGTGGTAACAGAAATTAACTGCCTGGATGTAGAGACTGATCCCCAACAGTATCTGACACTGTTAAACCAGTTGCATCTTAGTCAGGTAAGATTTTGTTTGGAGGAGAGCAAAAGGTACGAAGTGGTAGCCGGTCAGCAGTCAGGAGGTGGTGAATGTAACTGTGCAGCATTCACAAACAGAAGTGGAATTTTCTTCTAGCATTTTTCNTGTGCCCTGAATTGAACACAATGCTGTAGTGATATTTGATCAATGCAATATAAATTCTTATACTTTTGACCACACATGATGGTTAGGATGTGATGAGATACTTTGTTAAATACTTTAAATCAAGAGGTATCTATTTAATGAGATAGATATGTCTCATTATCAGATGAGATGAGGCTAATCTAACCAGATGAGACTTGGTTATCCATCCATCCATCCAATTTACATAGCCATCACAACAAGTTATTGTACAACAAACCAAGTTAAAATAAAATTAAAAAAACATTATAAACATTACAAAAGCTAAAATACAGAGTGGTTGAGCAGAGCAACTCAAGTCGCAGGCATAGTCAAGAAAGCAGATCCCTTGGGGCCTCAGCCAGCCCAGAACCAGGTCTTAACGGCCTTACAAAAGACCAGCAGGGTCAAGGTCATCCTGCATAGGTAAAATGTTCCACAAGTTGGTAACACAGCAGAAATGGCACGTCTTCTAGGCCCCACCAAGCAACATTCTTTGATTGGTGGGACCTGAACCATGCTCATCCTTCCTGACTAGATCAGATGGGAAAACAACCATGCTGATGGGCTAAGTAATCTAAAAAATTATGTAGAGGTTTGGTTTCAGTTTCCAAAAATGCTTTAAAATGAATTTATGGATTATGTTTTTTCTCTGGGATTGCACTGATATACTCTGTACCTTTATATGATCCCAGGAAAGACTATGACTGCTTTCAGGAATTGCAAACCAATGCTACATTCATATTCCCAAACATTTTGAATCACCGCTGAGTGATCAATTCTGAAGTGCTACAATTCTGAAGTTCCAAATTGTTTTTAAGTGGGTGTATATATGAACTCTGCTTTGAACCCTAAATTGCAAAACCTGGACTTGCATTGTTTTACCAAAATATTTCAGATGAGCTGTGATTTGACAGAATAAAAACTTGGTTTATTCCAGCCTTGAGTAAAAACAAAATCTGGTTTATATTAGCGTGGTTTAAATAGCAAGTAGGTGAAAACAGGTGCACAACCTCCCCGCCTCTTATATAGCTTACATACTGGGGTATCAACCCTTCATCTTACCAATACCTTAGTTGCAGCTGATGTTTGACTCATTGCCCCCTTCTCAATTTTTCTATTTCCTTCTTTTCTCTGTGATTTCTCTCAGATGTAGCTGATGTTCAGTCATTGTCCCATCAATCCCATATTCTTGCAAATGTCCATTGCAGTATTTTGTTTTTTCTTGTGAGATAAGGAAACAGTTGCCTTCTTCCAGTTGTTTGGCACATCTTTTAAGATTTCTGAGTGGTATTAAATGCATATTAAGCTAACAACTGAAACCTTTATATTGTCCTTTAAAGGTAAGTTTGAGTTTGCTCAAAGTAAATATAGATTCCCTGACCACATTTCTATAAATCCCATACTTTTTTCCATTCTTTGAATTGTCTGATGAAAAGCGCATCCTCCTATTAGAGCAAAATAGGAGCTGAGTTAGTTTTTCGTTTTTGTTAGCTATTAGCATTTTATTCCATTTAATGAGAAGCTGGTATATTGATTCCTTTCTTTTTCCTTTATATATTTCAAAACACTTCATTTTCTGTTGTTGTTTTCCAGTCTAGGAAACTAGAAAAAGTTGGTCTTAAAAGAAGACAAGTTATCATCACTAACCTTCTCAGTAGGGGAAAACTGCAGAGGGGAGTATTGTCCCAAACTAAATACAGTTTTATTTTTGTGTATTTACTGGATATCCCATATAATTCCAGATTAGCTTTTACTCATCCATACAGGATTCAGAAGGACTATAGATACTGTAAAAGGACAAAAAAAAGGATGATAATTTTCCCCATTATTAACTAAGGTAGGAATTTTGAGACATTTTCAAGCTGCCTTAGTTTTAAAACAAAATTTCCCAGAACCTCTGTTCAAAAGGTAAAGCTTGGGTGATAGAAAATGGGCTATGTTTAAAAGTTTCCTCTTTTTTTTCTTTTGTGGCACTTCCTCTCTGATAGAACCATAGGGTTCCCTGGACATGTTTTGAAAAATCTTGAATTAAGGATATTGTCAAAATATTTTTGTGCTTGGGTGCTTTTTTGTTCTTTTATGAACAATATTCTTTTAAAACTAGTTCATGTGGCTCTTCTGGAGCTTCCTTTCATATGAGAATCTGCTATGGTTTCCTGTTCTTGTTTCTCCCTGTTCTGAAGGAAATGATGAATCCCCACTTTTGATATACTTGGCCCCTCATGTTTATAATTAATCTCTTTTATGTTTGTTTTTACATACTTAATTTTATCTGCATCTTTTGCAAAATACATATTTGTGAACAAACTAAGTTTAAGTGAATATCAGTATTAAAATTATTGTAATTGTTTTTTGTAGTTGTTAACTTTACATGGTTTTTGTTGATTTTTCTAATTGTAGATCACATTCCAGACCCCAACAACGATCATACAGTCGCAGCAGTGAAAGAACTAGTCGCAGGAGAACCCGTAGTGGGTCTCGTGAGAAAGAAAGACGTAAAGGCAGAGATAAAGAAAAAGCAAGGGAGAAGGAAAGATCCAGAGGAAAAGACAAAGAGCAGCATTACAACAAAAGTGGGTAGGTAACACGTTAAATAAGCTATTTTGAATGTTGTTGTATAATATTTCATGTTATGGGCTTTTCCTAGAAATTTAATTGGCTCTTATAAGAAAATGGATGCAGAACTGCATGGTTACCCTTTGATTTAATTCAGCAGTGCTTTTTTAATGTTCTTACTGAGGCTTTTCTACTACTGTTCCTGTTCATGCCTCACATGAGTGGAGGCCCCTTGCAAATGGATATGATAAGGAGCTTGCAGACAGAGGGAGAACTGGAGTAAATGGAAGATCACCTTTTAGGCCACATTCTTATCTTTAAGTAGAAAATACAAGATGCAAAGTCAGAATATGATAAAATAGTATGTTAATATATCAAATAAAAGCAGATGAAACAGTAGCTTATTTACCAACAAAATAGCTATATAAAGCAAAGGAATTGTAAAATAAAATTATATAGCATCCATCCCCAAAGGCATAGAAACAGAACAGATTTTGATTGATATTTTCCCATAATATAAAATTAAAACAGACATATTTGTAAAAGATTTTCTGAGTTGTGTAAAAATATTTACTCCATTAGATATTATGAACTATTTTTTCATGAAAAACTATATTTTTATGAAAGAAAAACTAAGAAGAGGAAAATTGTTTCAATTTTTTGGAAATATTTTCAAAATTTAGCAAATGTTTTTGTGGATTCATAAAGGGATCTTCTTTCTAAAAGAAACACTGATCCTGAGGAATACCTTCAAAGAACACCCTAGCTGATTTCAAGTGAAAGCCTGTGTCTGAGAAATAGTATCTTTTCTATGGGTTTATTTTATTTTATTTTTTTACCTGATTGATTATTGGGCCTCCCTCTCAATTTCATTGCTTTAGATAAGCCAGCTTTTATTTTATTTTATATAGCTGCCCATTTCAATCTGGACAGTGAACAATTCTAAAACAATTAAAAACAGTATAAAATAAATATATGCAGCAGGCTGAAAAAGTACATATGAATTTTCTTAGTGATTTCAGTAGAAACATATTTACAGTAAAAAAAGATTAAAACAATTATGAATATGAACTATAGGAAAACCTCTTCTAGGAAGCATGGCAAACTCAGGACAACTCTGCAGAAATGAGGATGTGGCGGAAAGAGCAGTTCATGAATGAATTGGCTCCCCAAAATCCTCTCTGGATTAAGGAGAAGATCTGAGATCACCCAGAATGCATCATATATATGTGCTCCCCTTAAAGCAGCATCTTTGATGGATAGCTTTGTGAGCTAGGAGGGTCACCTTTGCCCAAGCAGTGGTTAGAAGCCTTCAAAAGAGCTACTGAGTTCGTCGACTTCCTTTCTTACTCACTTTCACTGGATATCGTTTGTAAATTGTTTTTGGGAATTAAGAATCTTCAGAAGGTCAGTTTTATTACACTGGATTATTTTTCTTCAATCCTTAGCAAAATAGGTTTAATGTAAGTTGAAGAACATCACCTGCTTTTTATTTGGAAATACTTAGCAAAAGGGTGATTAGAATGTTGATTTTGGAAAAAAAATTAAACAGACTAAGCAGGGATGACACCCCCTTGTGTCATCACAGGGGTGTCATGTGACAATCATGACTTTTTCCCCTTCGCTAAACTGGGCGTGGGTGTGGCCCAGGTGTGGATCTTTGCCCATAAATGCAATTACAATTGTTCTGCCCATGCGCAGAACTGAAAAACAAGATGGTGCTGCCGCTCGCACTGCCAGGAAATCGGCTTGGGGGTGTGGCTGGCCTGGGTCACTTGGGTTCCAGCGATCCAGGCCGCCAAACTACTACTGGTTCGGCCGAACCAGTCCAAATTGGTAGGAACCTACCACTGGTGTGGCCAGTACATGACGCATCAGGCCACGGGCCACACGTTTGACAGCCCTGGACTAAGGGATTCACTAGAAGCAAAATAATGAAATAATTATAAGAATGTATTGTGATTTGTTTCAAATTTCATTAAAATATATGAGTTTTAAGTTAAACCAATTCCTGGGAAAATGTGGATTAGAGAAAAATGTGGTGATACTTTAAAGACTAGTTATTAGAAGCAACTAGAAAGATTACAATTAAAGGAGAAGTCCCACTAATAGAGAACAGAGAAAAATATTTTAACTCTGGAAAATTCAAGGATTTTTGGCAACAGTATACTCAGAACTTTCTGTTTCTGTAAAGATGGACTCAAAAGAGAAGAGGATAAAATTGAGAATTATGCTGTTTTGGATATATATTTAAAATTGACAGGCTACAAGAATGATATTGACAAAGATGTTATATGGATTTAAAAATGAAACCAGTTGCTGCTTTAATACTTAAAAGGGATACACAAATAATAAATCAGAACAATGACTTGGTAGTATGGATTTCAATTTTCTGGATTAAGATTGAATAATGAAGCTTCATTGTTGACTAATAAATGAAAGATGAAAAATGACAGTAAGAGATTTTAGGTTAAAATATTAGAGAAGGTGATAAATTATGGAAATTTTACTTATCTTGATGAAGGAAGAAGTCATTACATTATAAAATTTTCTTTTTTAACAATTTTTTTTCTTCTCCTTTTTTCTTTCTTCTTGCACTTTTTATTTTTCATATTTTTATTAGTTTGTATTAGTTTTTTTAATCTTTAAATTTCAATAAAAGTATTATTTAAATTAAGGGGAAAACTTCATTGGGATAATGTGAGCTGTAGAAAAAAAATCACAAACCATTTAGGTTTTTAAAACTAATAACCAGCACTTTGTAATTCAGCCAAAAGGAAATTGGCAGCTGGTGTGCTTTTAAGCACAGTCATAATGTGGCTCTTTTGAGTTTTTCCAGAAACTAACCTGGGTGCTGAGTTTTGTATCCTTAAGTTTTGTGACTAGATGCAAAGGCATGTAGAGTTTATAACAATCCATCCTAGAGATCACTAACATTTTAAAGGTTGCTTTCTTCTAGAAAGGGACAGGGTATGTCAATTAAAGTTAGTCATAGCTAAGGTCTCAAGATATAAAACCTGAGGAAAAAAAATGTTTCAGGAAAAACCCTTCTTCCAACTTCATATCTGTACTTTCTGGTGAATGTGACCTCATTTGGATTTGGAACAGCTACTACCTCTTTAAACTATAAGTCCCCGCTTTATCTGCTTTGATTTACCCTTCTTCATTAAGTTATTATTGACTGGAAGAAAGTATTCTGAATAACCATTATATACAATTGAATTGAACTGTTTGAAAGAGAAAATGCTAATACTTTATCATATCATCCAACTCTAATGAACAATGGGTGGCATATAGAACCAAAAAATCCATAAAAGTATTAAACCATACAGAAAGTGTGGACTAAAAATGAAAAGCAATGCAAGTCAAAAACAAAATAGCCCCCCTTCTCTAATATGTGATATGCATGTTATTAGCAGACTGATAAATATTGAAAGAATTGAAGACAGATTTATTGGGACAGAGTAGATTGGTAACAATGATGATGTTACCTTGTTGGGTAATTAAATGTCTGCAAGAAAACAACTAAGCTCAGTGGGCACCAAGGACCTCTTAGATTGGGAAAGGAGCATTTGTCTTAAAATGACATGAGTAGAAATCTTCCCAAGATCAGAAACCTCTCATATAAGAGCCAAGGTGGCGCAGTGGTTAAATGCAGTACTGCAGGCTACTGCTAGATCAGCAGGTCAGCGGTTCAAATCTCACCGGCTCAGGNAGCCTTCCCCAGACTCCAGGACTGGCCCATCTTCCTCCCCAACCTCCTCACTGTCCGAATCTGCTGCCAGCTCTGCTGGCCGCTGATGGGCCACAACATACTTTTCCTTCTTTACATCATGTCTGGATTGGTCCATGTGGCCTGATTCATGCTGTTTGCACAATGATGTCGTGACCCTTGGGATGTCATGGTGGCTTCTTTAGCAACATGGATGGGAAGGCAGCATTTAATTATTAATTTTACTTCTGTTATTTGGTGGGAGTGAGGTATTTATCGATGGAGGAGGCAGGCACAGATCCAGAATTAATCAGCAGAGGATAAGAATTGGGGGGCTGCAGATGTGCCTGCTTCCAGGGTTTCAGAATTGGCAGAAGTGAGGAAGAGCTGCAGAACAACTTCCAAAACTGAATTATGAAAGACCAGGACATGTGTGAAAGTGTGAAAACATGCTCTGGAGAACTGTCTCCAAGTTTATGAAGGAGAAGGTTGATGCTAAATATTAAGATGGGCTTCCTTTGGCTGATGTTCTCCAGAAGTTGGGTTCTTCTGGAGAATCCTCCTCTTCCTCCTTCTTATCCTCTTCCTTCTCTTCTTCTTCCTCCTCTTCTTCTCCCTCCTCCTCCCTCTTTTTCCCCTTCTCCTCCTCTTCTTCTTCTTCTTCCTCCTCCTCCTCCTCCTCTTCTTCTCCCCTTTCTCCATCCTCTTCCTTCTCCTTCTCCTCCTCCTCCTCTTCCTCCTCCCTCCTCTTCTCTTCCTCCTCCTTCTCCTCTCTCCTCTTTCTACACCTCCTCCTCTTCTTCTCCCCTTTCTTCCGTCCTCTCCTTCTCTTCTTCCTCCTCCTCTTCCTCCTCCTTCTCCTCCTCTTCCTCCTCCCTCCTCTTCTTCCTCCTCTTCCTCCTTCTCCTCTCTCCTCTTTCTCCTCCTCCTCCTCTTCTTCTCCCCTTTCTTCCGCCCTCTCCTCCTCCTCTTCTTCCTCCTCCTCCTCTTCCACCTCCTTCTCCTCCTCCTCACCTTCCTCCTCCTTGTCCTTGTCCTTCTCCTCTTCCTCCTCCTCTTCCTCCTCCTCCTCTTCCTCTTCTTCTCTCCTTTCTCCATCCTCTTCCTTCTTCTTCTCCTCCTCCTCTTCCTCCTCCCTCCTCTTCTTCCTCCTCTTCCTCCTCCTTCTCTCTCCTCTTTCTCCCCCTCCTCCTCTTCTTCTCCCCTTTCTTCCGTCCTCTCCTCCTCCTCTTCTTCTTCCTCCTCCTCCTCCTCTTCCTCCTCCTCCTCCTCCTCCTCCCTCCTCTTCTTCCTCCTCTTCCTCCTCCTT